TGTGTCTCCTCCTTTGCACTGCTAGACCATCTTTCTAGTTCTTTCCACTGTGCCATCAAGGACTCCCAAACATTAGCAAAAACTCCCTTTTATCTTCAGCCATCCCACCCCCCTAGCCTGTTTCAAACTGGACCCTGCTCCCCGAGAACAGTACCTTCTCTCTAGCCCTGTGAGATAGCAGCTCCATACTGTCCTCACACTATAAGGGCGGGTAACAAGTAATGTCAGCATTACAATGTCTAGCTCCCAAACATAAGGAAAAGTCAGGGAACTATGGATGAGCTCAGAGTTCACAGCTAACTTGACTTAAAATGACAATTATTAAAAAAATATTTACTCATTCAGCCAAGATTAAGTGAATGCCTAGTATGTGTAGGCACTGGACATTAAGATAGAGATATAATGCCCAGCCTTGGGGAAGCACAGTCTGTTCGCAGAGCAGGCAACACAGTCTACGATTCTTCCTGCACTGACACATACCCACTGGGCACTGAGGTGTTCCGCCCAGACAGGTACAAAACGGAACCAATAGGCTTGAAGACAAAAACCTCTCATATCACTCACCCAAATAAGCATTTATTTAAATAAGCATTTATCTGTTCTAATGTGTGTCATCTGTGGAAGAAAATAAAGCTATGCAATCTCAAAGTCCTTGAACTTTTGCATACCATTTAGGAGAAGCTGGTGGGGATGTGGGGTTTGGAGGTATCCAGGGAGGCCTGTAGTCTTTCACAGGCTGTCGGTTTATTTTTAGTCTGGATGAAACTGTTGTCTGATGCAACCTGCTTTTGCTGTAGGGTTGGTTTGGTCGTTTTCTTTCAGATATGTGGAGTGCCTGCAAGAAGTAAACATGCATTGCAAAGCCAAACAAGTATCAAAGACACTCTAAGTTTCAACAGATGATTCATTGGAGCGTGAAGTGCCTCTTTGCTGTTCATGCATTCATTCTAAAAGCACTCTGAGGAAAATGTGAGAAGCATCTAAGTCACACTGAAGTAAACCTCGGTGAGGGTGGAGCTGGAATCCTTGACTTTTCTACATTTATATTTAAAATATTCATTATCTTTTCCTTAATTAAATTTCCCCTTTTAAAAGCCCATGTTTTTTTTACAGTTAAATTACAAAATATTCTTGACTAAAATATTTAAACTTTCTGAATCGTAGTCTACCCACAATGAAACACACACCAATTTCAAATACCATTGGGCATGAGGCTGAGAAGAGCATTCAAGTAGAATTCTTTCTTATAGGCTCAATCTTGACTTCCCAATGACACCATTACAAGTTTATTTGGAAAGAAGACTTGATCCCAATCCATGACCTGTTGGTTACTGCCTGTTTTGATTAGTGGTTTGTTGTCTTGACACAAACTAGAGTCCTCTATAAAGAAGAACTTCAAATGAGAAAGTACCTATATCAGACTGGCTTCTAGGCAAGTTTGTGGGACATTTTCTTGATTAATGAATGAAGTGAAAGAAGCCAGCTCACTGTGAGCAGTACCACTCCTAGGTAGGCAGTTCTAGGTTATATGACAAAGTAGGCTGGGCAATACACAAAAAGCAAGTCAGTAGGAAGCATTCCTCATGGTCTGTGCTTCAGTTCCTGTCTCCAGTTTCCTGCCTTGAACTCCTGCCCTGGCTTCCCTTCATGGCCAAAAAAAACCCATTCCTCCCCTGTTTGGTGTTTTTTCACAGCAATAATAAGCTGCCAAATTTCCTTTTCCAAGGTCATGTGATAATACCCAGGCTTGCTACCTAAGTCTCTGGACAGCACTACTGAGTGGCCGTCACTGCAGTAAGTGTACTCAGACCAGAGGTGCTCATCTAGCCAGTTTTCCATTGAAGGACCATAAGGAAGTTTTGTTGTTGTTGCTTAATTTGTAATTAATTAAATAGTCAAGTAATTAACTGTGTATGGGTATTTCGCCTGCATCTATATCTGTGTATCACTTGCATGCCTGGTGCCCATGGAGGCCAGAAGAATTAGAGTTACAGATGGTTGTGAGCCACCATGTAGGTGCTAGGAATCAAACCCTGGTCCTCTGGAAGAGCAGTCAGTGATAACCACTGAGCCATCTCTTCAGCCCCATATGGAAGTTTTAGATAGATACTTAAAATATAAAATAGCTTCAGCTTACAAGCTTTAAGCACCCAGATAGTTCCCAAAGCCATATTAAAAAGCACCCACCTACAGAGGCCGTTAAATATTCAGTGACAATTATGAATCAGTATTTATCTTTAGTAGAAACATAATCTTAAAAAAATTATGTGTACAGGTATTTTGCCTGCATATATGTCTGTTCACTACATGTATGCAGGAGCTTGTGGAGGTCAGAAGAGGACAATGAACGACACAGAACTGGAGTTACAGGGTGCCATGAGCCACCATGTGGGTGCTGCAAACCTAATCTGGATCTTCTAGAAGGACAGCAAGTATTCTTAAGACCACTGAGCCATATTCTGCCCCAAGAATAGCACCCCCCACTAATCACTCGGAACAGAATCTTAAATCCTCTCAATTCTTAACACTTTCAAATACTGAATTTCAAGACAAGCTTCCTAATTATGACCATGGTATTACAATAGTTAGGATCTTACTGAAGCAGGGAAGGACAGTATGTTCTATCCTATAACACCATTACAAACTGGCTTTTGTTAAAAGAAAAAGCAAACCTGGAATTAAGCTAAGTCAACTTAGATTGCTCTACATCAAGTCAACTTAGATTGCTCAGGGCATCCATCTGCCCCAAATGGATGGTCCTACCTCTTATTAGCTTGTATGACCTTGGACAAAGTCAGATGAATATAAATGCATTATAAGAAAGAAATTACTTCATACCTGCTGATGTCTGGCTGACTCCAAAGCATCTTTCTTCCTAAATGGCACATGCTCTGTCACGGTCTTCTTTCTCACTGCTTGTGTTTTTGCTTTCAAGGATGCTTCATCCTTGAAGCCAGTACCATGGCCCAATATAGAGGGGTCTTCTTCTGGAAGGATCTCTGTGTCTAACATATTAAGTTCACTCTCCAGCCTCTGAGTCACTGGAAACTCCACATCAGGCTGACACACATCTATACAGAGTTTTCAGAGGAGAAATTCTACTTAATCCACAGAGGAGGAATGAATGAATAGCACCTAAAAGCTACCCTCCAGTCTGGCTCTTTGAAAAGCATGGAACTCTGTTGCCACACACACTACCCCCATTACCTACACCACCACAGGTGTAATTACCAATGCCCAAGCACCATGGCTAATCCCATCAACATCAGGATCCACATTAACTGATTTTCCAGTTCTTGTTTGTGATCCTAATTCTGTATTATCTCTTGCTCCTACCCAGACTGGCCTCTCTAGATCTTTTGACTATAAGATACTACCTTCACCGGCCCCCTGCTGATCTTAGTCACATTTCCACTGGGTTGCCAAATTGTCTGTGTTAGCTAGATTTATGTCAATTTGACACAAACTAGAATCATCAGAAAGGAGGGAACCTCAATTAAAGACAATGCCTCCATAAGATCCAACTTAAGGACATTTTTTAAATTAGCGATTGAGGAGGAAGGACCAGCCCATTGAGGGTGGTAGTATTCCTAGGCTAATAGTCCTAGGTTCTAAAAGAAAGCAGGCTAAACAAGCCATGATGAGCAAGCCAGTAAGCAGCACTCCTCCATGGCCTCTGTATCTGCATCAGTTTTTGCCTCCAGGTTCCCAACCTGTGTTAGTTTCTGGCCTCACTGCTTTTGATATGGAACTGTGAACAAAATCCTTTCCTCCCCAAGTTGCTTTTGGTCATGGTGTTTCACCACAGCAATAGTAACTCTAAGACACTGTCTTTCTAAAATGGAAATACTGCAGCCAGAGATGGCTCAGTATTTGAAAGCACTTTATCCTCTTGCACAGGACCTGGGTTCAGTTCCCAGCACCGACACCGTGGCTCACAACCATCTATAATCTCAGTTCCAGGGCTTTTGATGCCTTCTTCTCAGCTCCATGGGTGCTGCATGCACAGGTGCACAAACATTGCATGCAACTAAATATTTTACTTTTGTAGATTTATTTATTTTAAGTGGATGGATGATTTTTTTCTTGCATATATATCTGTGCACCATATGTACGCCTGGTACCCTTGGATCTCCTGGAACTGGAATTATAGATAGATGTAAGCTACCATGTGAGTGCTGAGAACCAAACCCAGATCCTCTGGAAGATCAGCCAGTGCTTTTAACCACTGAGCCATCGCTCCATCCTCAGATTAAAAACTTTATTTTTTTCAAGTCAAAGTTTCTCTGTGCAGCCTTGGCTGTCCTGGAACTTAACTCTGTAGACCAGGCTGGCTTCAAACTCAGAGATCCACCACCCTCTACCTCCTGAATGGTGGGATTAAACACTTTTTAAAATGAAAACACTTAAAAAAATTTTTCTACTCAACATATTTGATATATAGTATGAACTGTATTCTGAACACATGTCATTCAATTGGCTATGAAAAAGAAAATAAATCTTTTTATAGGTAACTCAGGAGAATTGGAGAATAGAAAAACTCTTACTAATAAGACTATTTAGCCAAGATCTACACATAAGTGCAACATACAAAAGTCATAAAATAACTACTTAAGCCATATAATAGGAAAAAATATCCCATTAACATGGCCAACAAAAACTCCAAGGTGGGGACTAGTGTATGGTTAAGTGGTAGTGTAAGCATGCATGAGGACATAGATTTCAGTCCTAGAATCACAAACAACAACAAACATGCAAATACTGCTCCTCCCCCCAAAAAAAACCTCCAAGAAAATGAGGAGGAAATCTAATGAAAAACTCATAGGAATTTCACAGAAAACATTTCAAAGCTTTTATTTTATTTTTGCAGTCCTAGTTCTATATTCCTGGCCATTGAAAGGGCATGAATGAAAATCTGAATCAAGGTCTCTTGCTGCAGCAACGTGAGTGGGAGCACCTGGAATGCGAGCTCAGAATGAGACTCTAAGGGTTGCAAGAAAATGGCAGACACGCCCGACATAGGAGATATCGCCAACTTTGATAAGGCCAAGCTAAAGAAAACCAAGATGCAGGAGAATACTCTGCCGACCAAAGAGACCATTGAACAAGAAAAGAGGAGTGAGATTTCCTAAAAGCCTAGGAAGATTTCCCCTACCCAACTCCGATCTCCAAGACCTCCTCATGATGTGGAGAAAGAGCCACCTGCAAGATGGATGTGAGCCACAAGCTGCACTGTGAACCCAGGCACTCTGCGCCTATACCACCAGCCTTTGGGTCTCTGAAGCTGGACCTCCCCCCACTCACTAATCAGACTGCCAAATTTCACTGGTTTGCCCGGTATATTATAGAAAATTATTTGTATGATTGATGAAAATAAAACACACTTTGTGGCATGGAAGAAAAAAAAAGGAGAAAATATGAATCAAGTTTTTATTTACAAACAGACTGGACATTGTAAACATGTCAATTCTCCACCAAGTGACCTAAATTTCAAATGCATATCAAATTGAAATTTGTGTGTGTGTGTGTGTGTGTGTGTATCTAAACAGACTGCTCCAGCTGGGTGTGGTGGCACATGTTTTTACTCCCAGCACTCAGGAGGCAGAGGCAGGCAGAGCTCTGAGTCTGAGGCGAGTCTGGGCAATATAGAAAGTCCCAGGTCAGCCAGGGCTCAATAGTGAGTCTCTACAAACACACACAGACACACACACACACACACACACACACACACACACACACACAAACCTAAACAAATTGAGCCTAAAATTCTTATGAAGGGGCCAGACAGACTGCTCAGCGGTTAAGAGTACTGAACACCCAGGATAGGTTCCCGGCACCCACAAAGACAGTTCATGGCAAACTGTAACTTCAGTTCCAGGAAATCCAATGCCCTCTTCTGACATCTGAGGGCAACAGGCATGCATGCGGTACATATACGTGCATGCAGGCAAAACATTCACACATAAAATAATAAACCTAATTTTTGAATTTACATGAAGAGTAAAATTCTAAGAATTAGCCCCCAAAATTTGAATAACAACAACAACATGGGGATGAAGTGGAGGCAGGAGTCTTTCTTGACCAGAGATGAGAATCTTAGTAAGAGCAGCAATGGTCAGGCAGTGCACAGTGATGCAGGAACCAATGGCACAGGATGGGAGCCACAGACCAACAGATGCAAACTGAGGACTACTACTGTCCACACATCAAAAATCAAAGTGGAATCCACGCCCACACTAACAGCACTCAGCTCACAACAGCATAAAGTCCTAAAGGAAGAAAACTTCAGAGCTTTAAGAAGAAAAGATAGTATCATCACATCATCAAGACAGAAAAGACTCTTAAATATGATAATCAACTTATTAGGGTTTATTTACATTGAATTACAGTGTTTGATCAAAAAGTCACCAAAACAAATCAGCCAAATCTGGAAGGAGATCCCTGAAGTATATTTAACTAACATGGGATCAATACACAGATGAACTTTTACAAATCTATAAAGGAAATAAACAGTTCAACAGAAAAATGGGCAAAGTATAAAAACTACAATTTAGGCAGAAAACAAGTCATCAATAACTGCATGAAAAGATGATAAACATTAGTAACCAGGAAAATCAAGCCATAAGCTAGCATTCATAGCCATTGGAATGGGGAAATATGAAGTACGAACAATCATAAATGAAGAGGAAGGAAACTCAGAAAACACTAGTGCAGGAGTAAAATGTTTTAAATTGCACGGCAGATACACAGTACTTATTATTTTTGTCCTTTCTGTTTAGACAGAACCAAACACAACTGGCAAAAAAGAAAAAAGGAAAAAAATCAATGAAAGGATTCCCAATAATATCTGCTATACTCATAGACTGGTACCCACCCCAACTGTCATCAGAGAGGCTTCACCCATAAATTGATAGAAACCTGGGCAGAGCTCGGAGAATCCTGAGGAAGACAGGGAGGATGGATTGTAGGAGCCAGAGGGGTCAAAGACACCACAAGAAAATCACACTACAGAATCAATTAACTTGGGCTCATGGTGGCTCACAGAGACTGAACCAACAACCAGGGAGCCTGCATGAGCCTGACGTAGGCCCTCTGCATATATGTTACAGTTGTATAGCTTTATCTTCTTGGGAGACTCTTAACAGTGGGAGCAGGGGCTGTCTCTGACTCTTTCTCCTGCTTTTGGGACCCTTTTATTCACACTGGATTGCCTTGAGCAGCCCGAATACAAGGGGAAGTACCTAGTCTTATTACAACTTGATATGCTATGTTTGGTTGATATCCATGGGATGATATAAACCTTTTTCTGAAGGGAAATAGAGGAGGAGTAGATGAAGGTAGGAGATAGAGAGAAGGTTGAGAGAAAGGAATGGGAGGAAATGATCAAGGCGAATCTGTGGTCGAGATATAATAAAAAATAAGAATATTTAAGAATCAAAGGAAAGAAGGCTTTATTCAGATTCCTTAGCAGCAGCAGGCCAGGATCCAGATTCCCCAAAACCATTGCTTTCCTTACAAGTTCTCAAAGCACACAGCAAGGACTATAAACCAGATCGAAGAATGACTGACTCCTGGTGCTCAATCTGCAGTTTGGTAACTCCCAACACTACATCTACTGAAGCAGCACTAGCTGTTGGGTCCTGACACCTTTTCAGCTGTGAATGGCATTAATCAGCCCTCAAATGCAGTGCAAATTCACAGGGAGCTAAGTATGAGGCTTAGAGTAGCAGCCACAAGACCTAAAGCTCCTTACATTCTCACATAGTACACTACTGGTAATCAGTAGTCAGAAGCTTCTCAGAAATGTGATAGCCAACAATTACTTAAATCCAAGGAAGTTGATCCATTCAGGCTCAATCATAAATCCCAAATCACACAGAGACAGTTTCCCTCCCTTGGGGCTCCCCATGACATTTTGGGAAGTAATGGGTAGGGAATAGGAACTCCAGGAAATTGGAATGAAGAATTAGGAACAGGAAGAGTGCTGTCTAAAATAGAGAGAGAAAAATGTGGCCTTCTGAAAGATTGTAAGAAAACAAAACAAAACAAAACAACAACAACAACAACAAAAAACCCCTAAAGAGCAGCACACTGCTCTCCAGGAGCAAATGCATGAAACTTGCAAACCGGGGACCTATAGCCAAAGCTTCACTTCATGGTAATGGTGATAGAGCAGCTATTACCAAGCCTCCTGTTTGATACAACATGTATTTGTTTTAACAGAATTCACATCCATTTGAGCCCCATTACAGTACCTTCCCAGGGTAGGAAGACCAGGATTACTAATATTCTTCAGGTGAAAAAAAGAATTGAAGCATTTGCTCAAGGTCACAAGGAGAGTGAGCACAGGGCCTCCTACTCTGCCTCCATGCCCCATCCTCAAGGAAGAGTAGAACATGTGTTGTAGATTGTATACAACAAACATGGGTTAAGGCTTGAGTTATAATCAATCCTGCCTATGTGATGGAAGCTCCAGAGTAATCTCTTACATTATGGACTTCAGAGAGCTTTTGGGTTGCTATATAAATATAAGTTCCTGGAGGTGGTATGCCCCCTCCCACATTCCTGGCCTTAGGTATCTCCCATCTGGCTATTAACCTATTCACCTATATCCTTTGTTAAGAGGGCTGAATGTGAGTTCGTGAGCAATCCCACCAATCCCAGATTTAGTGTCAGGTTACAACCCAAGACCTGCAAATAGTTCTCATGTGGGGCTGTCTTCTGGAGCTGAGCTTTCCATCTGCGGGACCAGACCCTGGGCTGAACTATAGCACCCCCTTCCCACACACTCAATGAATTGCTGCTCCACTGAGGCTACAGTTGGACACTAAGCTGTACAGGGTCCACAGAAGAGCAAATGCACCAACAGAGAGACACTTTTAAGTTTCTGATCACTTTTTTTTGAAGAAAAGTGGCATAAGAAAATGTTGACATATTAAACTACAATGAGGGAAAAACCCCAAACTTTGACAAATGAAAATCACAAAATAAGGTCAAAGGAAATTCAACATGTCATTACTCTCAGTTAATCTAAGGTTAAATACAGAGCTCTACAACAAGGTTCAAAAAACCAACACTTGCCAGGAGGAGTTGTGACACAGCCTTTAATCCCAGCACTCAGGAGGCAGGGCAGGCAGAGCTCTATCAGCTCAAGACTAGCCTCGCCCATACAGTGAGACGCCATCTAAGGGGACAAAATTAACTTCTGTGCTGGAGATCACTCAGAAGTTAAGAACATGTGCCCATCTCCACACCCATGCCAGGGCACTCACAACTGCCTGTAACTCCAGTTCCAGGGGATCCACTGCCCACTTCTGCTCTCTATGGGCACTGCACACATATAATTAAAAACAAAAATATTTTTTAAAATTAAATACATACAGGAGTAAGAAGGGTAAGAAGGAGGAGGATAAGGGCATTTCCGAGCTGCAGTCACTCTAGTCTCAGTGCAGACAGTTTATAATGTTTGTGGAGTTCTCTTTTCTGGTATTAGCTCAGCAGTGAGCTGACACTTTGTACACTTCTCTATGTTCTACTTCAATTTAAAAAGTGAGGATTAGTGCTAGAAAGATATATCAGATAATAGGAAGGACTTACTATGCTTCGACAACCTGAATTCAATCCTTGGAACCCGTGGTGCATGGATTCCAACTGATCCTCTCTAGTTATAATTATAAATAAAATAAGACTTTTTTTTTTTTTGAAAGGAAAATTAGTTTACTGGTTTGACCTATAAATGTTTATAGATTATTTCATCTATCTGGAAAATGGAAAAAAAAAAAAAAAAACAAGTGACAAAACCCTTTATTCCATCAAATCCAAAACATCAGTTTATAACATACATCATATTCTATCATTAGGAATTTTAAAAGTTGAAAAACTATAAATGTTACAATTTAGTTACCAGACACATCCCTCAGCAGGATATTGTGGCTCATACCTGTAAACCTAGCACCCAGAAGTCTAAGACATGAGTTTTGCAAAGCTCCAGGTCAGCCTCAGTCATAGGCTGGCCTGAGTTACCAAGCAACATAGGCAAGATGGCTCTACTTAGGGCATGGGGGTATACCTGGCTGTGTAGCTCAGTGTTGCTGCATTTGCCTGCATGTGAAAAGGCTAGATCTCTAGCACT